CCTCCCAGAACGCCATTCCCGGGCCACATTTTGATGCCCGGAGCCAACTGTAGGCAATTTCGTGTTCTTCTACTTCCCAGAACTCCATTCCCGGGCCACATTTTGGATGCCCGGAGCCAACTGTAGGCCACTTCGTGGTGTTCGAGTTCCCAGAACTCCATTCCTGGGCATGATTTTGAATGCCCGGAGCCAACTGTAAACCATTTCGTGTTCTTCGAGTTCCCAGAACTCCATTCCCGGGCCACACTTTGAATGCTGAGGCAGGCTGATGCTGAGGCTGAGGCAGGCTGAGGCTGAAGGCAGACTGAAGCTGAGGACGAGGCTGAAGGCAGACTGAGGCTGAGGCTGAAGCAGGCTGAGGCTGAGGCTGAGGCAGGCTGAGGCTGAGGCTGAGGCAGGCTGATGCTGAGGCAGGCTGAGGCTGAGGCTGAGGCTGATGCAGGCTGAGGCTGAGGCAGGCTGAGGCTGAGGCCGAGGCTGAAGGCAGACTGAGGCTGAGGCTGAAGCAGGCTGAGGCTGAGGCTGAGGCAGGCTGAGGCTGAGGCTGAGGCAGGCTGATGCTGAGGCAGGCTGAGGCTGAGGCTGATGAGGCTGAGGCTGAGGCAGGCTGAGGCTGAGGCCGAGGCTGAAGGCAGACTGAGGCTGAGGCTGAAGCAGGCTGAGGCTGAGGCTGAGGCAGGCTGAGGCTGAGGCTGGCAGGCTGATGCTGAGGCAGGCTGAGGCTGAGGCTGAGGCTGATGCAGGCTGAGGCTGAGGCAGGCTGAGGCTGAGGCCGAGGCTGAAGGCAGACTGAGGCTGAGGCTGAAGCAGGCTGAGGCTGAGGCTGAGGCAGGCTGAGGCTGAGGCTGAAGCAGGCTGATGCTGAGGCAGGCTGAGGCTGAGGCTGAGGCTGATGCAGGCTGAGGCTGAGGCAGGCTGAGGCTGAGGCCGAGGCTGAAGGCAGACTGAGGCTGAGGCTGAAGCAGGCTGAGGCTGAGGCTGAGGCAGGCTGAGGCTGAGGCTGAGGCAGGCTGATGCTGAGGCAGGCTGAGGCTGAGGCTGAGGCTGATGCAGGCTGAGGCTGAGGCAGGCTGAGGCTGAGGCCGAGGCTGAAGGCAGACTGATGCTGAGGCTGAAGCAGGCTGAGGCTGAGGCTGAGGCAGGCTGAGGCTGAGGCTGAGGCAGGCTGATGCTGAGGCAGGCTGAGGCTGAGCTGAGGCTGATGCAGGCTGAGGCTGAGGCAGGCTGAGGCTGAGGCCGAGGCTGAAGGCAGACTGAGGCTGAGGCTGAAGCAGGCTGAGGCTGAGGCTGAGGCAGGCTGAGGCTGAGGCTGAGGCTGAGGCAGGCTGATGCTGAGGCAGGCTGAGGCTGAGGCTGAGGCTGATGCAGGCTGAGGCTGAGGCAGGCTGAGGCTGAGGCCGAGGCTGAAGGCAGACTGAGGCTGAGGCTGAAGCAGGCTGAGGCTGAGGCTGAGGCAGGCTGAGGCTGAGGCTGGGCAGGCTGAGGCTGAGGCAGGCTGAGGCTGAGGCTGAGGCTGATGCAGGCTGAGGCTGAGGCAGGCTGAGGCTGAGGCCGAGGCTGAAGGCAGACTGAGGCTGAGGCTGAAGCAGGCTGAGGCTGAGGCTGAGGCAGGCTGAGGCTGAGGCTGAGGCAGGCTGAGGCTGAGGCTGATGCTGAGGGTGAGGCTGAGGAGGCAGGCTGAGGCCGAGGCTGAAGGCAGACTGATGTTGAGGCTGAAGCAGGCTGAGGCGAGGCTGAGGCAGGCTGAGGCTGAGGCAGGCTGAGGCTGAGGCTGAGGCAGGCTGAGGCTGAGGCTGTGACTGCGACTGCTGTTGCCACTGCGACTGCCATCGCGAATGCGACCACGACTGCGAGAACAGCAGAATTCTACAACAGGATTCTTATCTGAATCTTAAGGGGAATGCTTCCAGATATGCTCCTACACATCGCTGTTAGGTTGCTTTGCCGGGATAATTTGAGGATGTCCCGAGCGAAACGGCCGTTTTTGGGCATTGACAGATGGATTTTGGGAAATTTGCGGGTGGCCGGCGGGACGAGCCGAAGCCCACTGGGGAGTTCTTTTAGAAAAAGAACCAAAACCAAAACCTGAATCATCCAGCACGCCGTGCACCCCTGCAAGCAGGGGGCGGCGGATCAATTGGCCGTCGGCCCATCCCGCCACCGTGCTTGGGCAGTTTAGGGGCCTCTTGGGGTCGTCCCAGGGGCTTCTTGGAGACCTCTTGGGGCCCTCTTGGGGCCTCTTGGGGCTCTCTTGGGGTTTGTTGGGGGCCTCCAGGGGGCCTCTTAGGGCCTCCTGGGGGCCTCTTGAGCCGAAGGCTCGAAATGTTCATTCGGGTTCCCCTTCTGGGCCTCCTCTTGGGGCCATCCTGGGGCCCCTCTTGGGCCGTCCCGGGGGCCTCTTGGGCGGTCTTGGGGCCCTCTTGGGCCGTCTTGGGGCCGTCTTGGGGGCCTGTTGGGCCGTCCTGGGGCGATCTTGGGGGCCTCTTGGGCCGTCGTGGAGCGCGGATAAGCCGAAATGGCGTGAACGTGAAAATCCTTCAAAAACAATTGAAAAATCAAAAATTGTTGCTTCTCGGGGCTGTCTTGGGGGTGCTCTTGGAGCCCTCTTGAGCCGTCTTGGAGGCGTCTTGGGCCGTCTGGAGGCCATCTTGGGCGTCTTGGAGCGATCTGGAACCGTCTGGAGGCTCTCTTGGACTGCTCGGGACTCTCTTGGACCGGCTTGGGGCGCCCTTGGGTCGTCCCCGGGCCATTTGAGACCTTGAAGGGGGCCGGCGGCAGAGTGGGGCCGGCGGCAGAGTGGGGCCCCCTCGGAGGGACTTTCAGGAGGTTTTTGACCAGGCACTGGAAAAGGGGGCCAAAGACTGTGCCAGACACTGTGTCAGAGAGGTCTCGCACGGCCCAACCCGCCGGGCGGGAGCGGCCGGATCTCTCTTGCTCCCGCCCTCTGCCGCCGGCCTCTTCCGCTGGCTTCCGACCTGTGCTTCCGCTGGCTCCTCCGCCGAGGACGAGAGGTGCCAGCTCCGTCAACCCGAGGGCAGGGAGCTTCCTTCGGCGGTGGGCACACCTCCCTTTAGGAAGCCTCCCTTTAGTGGAAACGGCCTGTAAACACCCTTTACTGAGGCTGCGCCCCCCTTCTCCTCCCCCTTCTCTGCGTAATTCAAGCTCTGCGCGGCCCGCTTTGCTTCCACCGGAAGAGGTGCGCTCTCGACCCGCGAATCAAAAGTAAACACCCTTTAGTGACAAGCCCTTTAGTAAACCTCCCTTCAGTAAACCACCCTGCGGTGGATGACCCAGGCGAAGGCCCGTAGGAGCGCGGTGCCAGCTCCGTCAACCCTCGAGGGCTAGGAGCTTCCTTCGGCGGTGGACAGACCTCCCTTTCGGAAACCACCCTTTAGTGGAAACGGCCTAGGACCGAAACCGACGGACCTGGACCCGCAAAAACAACGGCCGTGACGCCCTCTCGCGAACCGAAAACAGCAAATTCGCTAATCGACGTGTCAAGGTAGGAGGTCTATCAAACTCTGATTCCTGGAGCGCGCCGCGTGCCCGAGGACTGTCCCGAACTACTTTTCTGACGGTCCCAGGGCCCAGCGAGGGCCCCCAAGAGGCCGAGCACGAGGAAACGCGTTCGTCCTGGTTGGTTCAAGGCGTTGGACGTCTGGCTAGTGCCATCCCGCCGAGAGGACCCCATCGATGCCGCGCAAGGAGACGCCACGCTGCAACACGACGCGAAGCGGAGCGCGGCACATGTCCCACGGCACGGTGCGACGCAGCTCGGCACCGCCGCACAGCACCACGAAGAAGCGGGCACGCGACGCGATCACGGCACAAGGGGGGCCCAGACATCCGACGCCTTGAACAAAAGCATGACGGAAGCTTTCGGCCGTGCTCGGCTTCTGCGGGTCCCCGCTGGGGCCGCAGGGGACCGTCGACACACAGCTCAGGATACACAAAACATCGGCCGCGGAAGCGCCGTGACTTCCGGAGGCCCCGTGCGAGCAAACATCAGGACGTCGGATTTCTGAGGATGGGCCCCTGGACGCGCCAGGGCTTGGGCGGAGGTCTGCGGACGGTTGCGCCGCAAACTGCGCCCCAGTGGCCGCCGCGGAATCGCGGCTTGACCTGCCCCAAGGGCCCCTGCGCCACAGGTTGCGCCTCAGCCTTCCCCAGGCACCGCGCGCAACCAAAGTCATGGTGTCCAGTGCGCCCCCCGAGATCTCAAGAACCCTTGCAAACTGCGCTGTCCAAGGGGAACATCTGAACATCCGACGTCGTGCCTTCTCGCGGCGTGGCCCGCCAAAGGCCTGGACCCCTTCCCGGGGGGCTGGCTCTTCATCTCGAATCAATTCTCAATGTTCCCCGGCCCGGTAAGGGCCCCTGGAAGCCGAAAACGCCTAAAGCCTTCAGTCGTCATAGTCGGATGTCAGGGCCCGCGGGCCAAAAAATGGACCCCTGGACCAGTTCCAAGGTGCGTCCTGATAAGGTTCTCGAGGCGGATCCGGCCGTGACGACCAGAAGCCCTCCCGAAGCCCAGAAAGGCGGACATCGTCGCACAACTGTGTCGAGCGTCGGCCAACTTCGAACCTTCCGCAACCGTGCTGAGGATCGCGCCGAATCGCCACTGCATGGTCGATGCATCGCCGATGCAGCGGCGACACCGGCGATGCAGCGGCGATGCCGGAGTGAAAACATCGGGCTCCACATCGAGCCGCATCGCCGATGCATCGGCGATGCGGCGCGATTCTCCGACTCCATCTGCTCGGAAACCATTTCCCAGACCCCCGACGTTATGATTTTTCATAACGTTGACCACTAGAGGTCTCGACCCACTTACAGGTCATACTGAATTGTTTTTGACGGTCTCGAGGCCCGTAAGGGCCCCCCGAGGCCGAAACGAAGAAAAAATCCTCTGTCGTGACTTTTTCATTACTCGTGGGGGTCTGGGCTTGGAAGGCCCAGAGCTTAGCGCTTACGTTGTGGATGTCCCCCCCCTGGATCTCCGGGGTCCACGGGCTCGCGGCGTCGGGGGTCCCATCGGCCGGGCCCGTGCCCGGGATCAGCGCCACCGCGCAGATGATCTCGTTGGACCCGAGGCTGCTCGCCTTCCCCGGTCGGTCGCGCGGGGGGCCCAACGCCCCCCCAGGTCGTTGGATACTTACCAGACTCCGATCGGTGGCGACCGATCGGCACTCCGAACTGATCGCGACCCATCGCGACAGGTCGGTCGCGACCGGTCCCGGAATGTGAAGCAACATTGGCAGCGACCGATCTCGTCGGCCGCGAGTGGAAAATTCCAGCATCCAATGAGCAGGGCTCGAGTCATGGCACGATCACGACGGAAGAGTCTTCCTATTTTTTCTGCCTCTGGGGGCCATGACAGGGCCTCGGGGCTGCCAAAAAACCCTGCTCGGGAGGAAGAGCAGGCCCCACGGAAGGGGCCGAGACTTCTGGGGGCCGACGACGTTATGACAAAAATCACGACGTCGGGGGATCTGGGGGTAGCTTTAAGTCTGGCCTGTCCCCCTACAGGGGGATTTTCGAGGAAAAATGAAAAATACTCCAAAAATACATCAGAATGGTCAAACAATGCTCCAAAAATAGTCCCTGGACTATTTTGGGACTATTTTTGATTTTTTGGGGGGTATTTTTTATTTTTCGTCGAAAATCCCCCTGTAGTGGGACAGGACCGACATAAGGGTAGCTCGGAGGGCCAGTCGAGGCCGCGGCGGCCAGCCGGCGCTGCTGGGTCCCTGGCGGGCCTCTCGGGAGCTTCTCGTCGCCACGGCGGGATCCGCCTCGGCAGACGGGGACCGATGCTAAGCCGATGTGGGCCGGGCGGGAGAGCCGCCGTTGTCTCTCGGGTCGGGCGAAAGGGGGGGATAGCAAAGGGGGGGGTTTGGGAATCAGCTCACGTAGCTGATTCTCCCGGCGCCTCCCGGCGCCGGAGGCGGCCATGTATCGAGGAATGGGCCCCTCGGTGGGGCCGAAACCAGCTGCATGCAGCAGATTTCGTAACCCCCCCTTTCCCAATCACCCCCCTTTCGTCCGGCCCGAGTCTCGGCTGGCCCTCCTCCGCTCAGCGAATCAGCTCGCGCAGCTGGCTTTCCTGGCGCCGGGCAGCGGATTTCGCACCTCTCCGTCTCCATGTTCGTCCCCTTTTCGTCCGATCCGACCTTTCCGATTGCCACGAGCGAGTCGAGCACGAGTTTCTCTGCCTCCTTCGACTTGCAGAGGTCCTCGATGCTCTTGTACTGCACGCCGTTCGCCTTGGCCCATTTCTCGAGCTCATGGGTATTCGCCTGCACGAGTGCAACAGGCCGATCCATGTCGCCGTCGCCGTGGCACATGATGCCACCGTTAATGCCGTTGACATACGCCGAGGTGCTATACTCTTTCTCCATGGCCTCTATGGCGATGTACTCGCCACCCTTGAGCTTCACGAGGTTCTTCACGCGGTCCACGATCATAAGGGCCCCATCTGTGGTCAGCACGCCCACATCACCAGAATGAAACCACCCTTCCTTGTCAAAGACCTCGGCAGTTTTGTCAGGCTGCTTGAAGTAGCCTGAACTGACCGACGGGCCTCGAATCAATACCTCGCCACGCCCCGCGCATGGCATGCTGTAGTGCATCGTGTCGCTGGCCAGGTAAGGCTTCTTGCTGCGGTCCATGATTTCTCCGCATGGGCCGAGCTTGATCTCAACGCTGCCCAAAGGGGGGCCGACCACGCCGTTTCGAACATCGTCTTTCATCTGCACCGACCCCGCGCAGCACGTCTCCGTCAGGGCATAGCCCTGGAGGAGGGGCATGCAGAAAGCGGTGCGGATGAAGTCCTGGACCTCGGCGCTCACGGGGCCACCGCCCGAGAGGCCGACCTTGAGCCGGCCGCCGAGCATGTCTGACAACTTCTTGAAGACGACCGCCTTGAAGAGCGGGGACTCCCGGCCATGGCACACTGCCCAATATCGGCCGCTGAACGCGACCTGGAAGAGGAATCTCTTCACGGGCGAGCCCTTGCCGACGACGTCCTCGACGCCCTTCTTCAGGATGTCCCAGATCTTGGGCACGGCCGCCATGACGGTCGGCTGGAACTCCTGGATCCCTCCCGGCGGGTGGGGGTACTCTGGCTTTAGGTTCAGAGAGCCGTCTGGCCTCTGGCGGCAGGCGCCCTTTGAAGAGATCGTCTTCGGGTCCGCGAAGCCCACCGCGGACCCGAGGGAGAACATCGTGAGCTCTGCGACGAGCTCGAGGATATGAGCGGCTGGCAGGTATGCGAGATAGGTCTCTTCACCCTCTTGCAGGCCAAGCTCCGAGAACTTGGTCCCGATGGCGGCCATCGATGCAACCAGACTGCGGTGCTCAATAACCACGCCCTTGGGCTTGCCCGTGGACCCAGACGTGTACATAATCACAGCCACGGTGCTGGGCTCGGGGGGGTGGAAGCCCTTCGTGGAGTTCGCCTTGCCCAGATCCACCACCTCCTGCATTGAAATCACCTTG